CTGGAGCAGAAGCATTAAATGTTGACACAGAATCTGCAGCTCAATATAGATAAGAATCACACTGAAATGAAAAGGATTAATGTACTCAATATAGAAGCACATTAATATAAGAGTAATATAAAATACATTAGTATAGAAGCATTATGTGAAAGAGGTCATGATATCAAAATAAGTTGTGATGCATAATGAATTTGAGTCACTGAACTAAGTAATTACTTAATTTCTGTCAGTCTAGGCTCATTTGCGAATCTGGGAAACAGTTCCACTGAAATCCAAGGATGCTCTGAGAACACATGATTATAAACCCAGGCACTGTATTTAAGACCTTATACAATCAACTGGACTACAATATGGTATCAATAGAAAAAGCTTGTATATACTACAGGGATTTTCAAAGGCACTCATTAAATCACAGCATTGACAACTATTCTCATGTCGAGTTAACTGGATACTAAACTGGACATCTGAAGACATACAAGAACATGACTGTCTTCAAAACAAACGTGTCTTCTAAAATGGACAACAAATTCAGAGGCTTGTCATTGGTACTTTGCAGCAGTTAAGATAATTTACGTAAATGTTAATATTAGCTCTATTGTTACCTTCCAATAAACAGCTAGGCTAGAATCCAGATCTTTCAAATCTCAAGTAGTTTAAGAATTCAAAATGCCAAGTTTCTGATACTTGGCCACATAAATTGTGTGGCTAAATTACGGAAGCTAGCCTGCTTAACAAGATTTTATTCAGAATTCTCCTGTATAAAAAGATAATACTGCTGCCACCATTTAATTTTTCCTAAACTGTTGACTCTGCTGCTCCATCTACAACTGTAACCAGTTCCAGTCTTCTCATAAACTACCACACACTAGTGGGGCAGTTGGCTGGAGTTATGCTGCAGCCAAATAAAGTGAAGCTAACTGGAACTGAACCAATGGTCGTTTTGAAAGGACACTTGAACTTTGAAGCACTTGCTAAACTGCTGGTTATTCTAATAATATTCCTGTGAAATTTCAGTTTTGAGCCACCCATTATATTTCATTACAAACTATAAATCACCTTAAAATCAAGAAAAGTGCAAAATGTTTTCCTGGTTTTTAAAAATTCACAAATCTATTCCAGTTATTTTTTTAAGAGTAAACAACTCTTACCAAAGGGGGCAGGGTTTGACTTAAAACTGGAGGCGCTTTTCAGATGAGCTACCCTGGCAGCAGTCACATGGGAACCACAATTTTTGGTGCTAGAATCTTAGGCTTTACAAGCTCAAGTCCTAACCTTTATTTTACAAGTGAAATTTTTAAATTAAGGTTATGATCTGGTTGTTGTAATAGCTAACTCTTACATTAAACTATGTACCAGGTAGTCTTTTAAGCCCTTTACACCTATTTATTCACCAATCCTCACACAACCAGAAACAGAATGTCAACTAATTTGCCCAAGGTCACACAGGTATTAAGTAACAAAGTCAGAATTCAAATCCAAGCAGTCTATACTCCTAAAATACCAGGCTCAACTGCTTCTATATCGAATGGCTTAAGTACAGCTTAGAGCTCTTCCACAACACCAGGGTTCAGAGTTCCCAACCTGAAAAACCAATTCTCCACTCGTTCTTTTTCCAATCTCACCATCGTAAATGAACTGCAAACCTGTGACTCTTAAAAGTTCCTTCTGTCAGTCTGAAACCTTAGGTAACATGACTTTTGTATCCAAAGTATATACTCTCTGGGAAACCAAAAGATGCAATGATCAGTCAGAAAGGAACTAGTGTTTCTCCTTGTTTTCATGGCAAAACCTGAAACGTCTAAAAGCAGAAGTAAATGGGCTATCAGTACTTTTTCTGAGAAAGGCAAACACCTACATAATTTCATGATGCCTAAAGTGATGAAACTGAGCTAAAAACAAGACGGACTTTTTTTTCTCAGCTGTCTCTACTTATCGAGAAAGGATACTCAATTTACGCATCTGAATGTAGGTGAGAAATGGGGGGTGGAAGGGAAGTATTACATCTCTCCCAAGTCGGGAGGCTCAGACTTCAGACCCTTTGCTACAAGTTAAAACCAGTATTCCACAATATTTCTGCCCTGGACGGCTTCAGAGGCTCTCCACGCTGCACGGAGGTGTTTACGTGGCGCTTAGAAGCATTTCCTCGGGCCCAGAGAGAGCAGGGCTGCCCCGGCTGGTAGGAGCCCCTAGCCCAGGGCCTTGCGGGAGGAGCGCCCGAAGCCGGCGGGAAAGGGGACGCGAGGGCTTCCCGCGGACCCCCGAGGGGATCGGCGCCTGGGTCCGCCGGTCTGAAGCCGCCGCTGGGCCACGCCAGCCTGCGTCGCCCCCCAGCCATTAGGACCACCGGCCCAAACCCGCCTCAGGGTCAGCGGCACGCCGCGGTCGGGACCGGACTCGAGGGGCCGAGGAGCCCGAGGGCGGACGCGCCCCTCTGTGGGCCACTCACCAGGTTGAGGGGTCCTTCCATTACTTCCATAGACCCCGGGGTAAACGGCGGCCTGAGGAAGGGGAGCAACGGCGCCGGGGCACATGGAGGGGTACAGTCTGAGGAAAGTGCTACGCTGCAGCGGCGACACGGGACCCTCTTCGCGCCTCAGGGGCCAGTAGTAGGCGCAGAGGGAGCAACTACACCACTTCCTTCTCCGACGCCGCAAGCCCGCCCCCTTCGCCGCTGGCACGTACGCGTCATGGCGTCACACGCGCCTGGTTCAAGGTGGGCGCGAGAACGGGAGGTGGGTGGAGCTCAGGGAGGGCGCAGCATGGACTGACATGCGCTTTGTCGAGGTTGGTCTTTACTCTCACGACAGGGTATCTTCAGCTTCTTGAAGATCCAAGGATGCTCTGAGAACACATGATTATAAACCCAGGCACTGTATTTAAGACCTTATACAATCAACTGGACTACAATATGGTATCAATAGAAAAAGCTTGTATATACTACAGGGATTTTCAAAGGCACTCATTAAATCACAGCATTGACAACTATTCTCATGTCGAGTTAACTGGATACTAAACTGGACATCTGAAGACATACAAGAACATGACTGTCTTCAAAACAAACGTGTCTTCTAAAATGGACAACAAATTCAGAGGCTTGTCATTGGTACTTTGCAGCAGTTAAGATAATTTACGTAAATGTTAATATTAGCTCTATTGTTACCTTCCAATAAACAGCTAGGCTAGAATCCAGATCTTTCAAATCTCAAGTAGTTTAAGAATTCAAAATGCCAAGTTTCTGATACTTGGCCACATAAATTGTGTGGCTAAATTACGGAAGCTAGCCTGCTTAACAAGATTTTATTCAGAATTCTCCTGTATAAAAAGATAATACTGCTGCCACCATTTAATTTTTCCTAAACTGTTGACTCTGCTGCTCCATCTACAACTGTAACCAGTTCCAGTCTTCTCATAAACTACCACACACTAGTGGGGCAGTTGGCTGGAGTTATGCTGCAGCCAAATAAAGTGAAGCTAACTGGAACTGAACCAATGGTCGTTTTGAAAGGACACTTGAACTTTGAAGCACTTGCTAAACTGCTGGTTATTCTAATAATATTCCTGTGAAATTTCAGTTTTGAGCCACCCATTATATTTCATTACAAACTATAAATCACCTTAAAATCAAGAAAAGTGCAAAATGTTTTCCTGGTTTTTAAAAATTCACAAATCTATTCCAGTTATTTTTTTAAGAGTAAACAACTCTTACCAAAGGGGGCAGGGTTTGACTTAAAACTGGAGGCGCTTTTCAGATGAGCTACCCTGGCAGCAGTCACATGGGAACCACAATTTTTGGTGCTAGAATCTTAGGCTTTACAAGCTCAAGTCCTAACCTTTATTTTACAAGTGAAATTTTTAAATTAAGGTTATGATCTGGTTGTTGTAATAGCTAACTCTTACATTAAACTATGTACCAGGTAGTCTTTTAAGCCCTTTACACCTATTTATTCACCAATCCTCACACAACCAGAAACAGAATGTCAACTAATTTGCCCAAGGTCACACAGGTATTAAGTAACAAAGTCAGAATTCAAATCCAAGCAGTCTATACTCCTAAAATACCAGGCTCAACTGCTTCTATATCGAATGGCTTAAGTACAGCTTAGAGCTCTTCCACAACACCAGGGTTCAGAGTTCCCAACCTGAAAAACCAATTCTCCACTCGTTCTTTTTCCAATCTCACCATCGTAAATGAACTGCAAACCTGTGACTCTTAAAAGTTCCTTCTGTCAGTCTGAAACCTTAGGTAACATGACTTTTGTATCCAAAGTATATACTCTCTGGGAAACCAAAAGATGCAATGATCAGTCAGAAAGGAACTAGTGTTTCTCCTTGTTTTCATGGCAAAACCTGAAACGTCTAAAAGCAGAAGTAAATGGGCTATCAGTACTTTTTCTGAGAAAGGCAAACACCTACATAATTTCATGATGCCTAAAGTGATGAAACTGAGCTAAAAACAAGACGGACTTTTTTTTCTCAGCTGTCTCTACTTATCGAGGATACTCAATTTACGCATCTGAATGTAGGTGAGAAATGGGGGGTGGAAGGGAAGTATTACATCTCTCCCAAGTCGGGAGGCTCAGACTTCAGACCCTTTGCTACAAGTTAAAACCAGTATTCCACAATATTTCTGCCCTGGACGGCTTCAGAGGCTCTCCACGCTGCACGGAGGTGTTTACGTGGCGCTTAGAAGCATTTCCTCGGGCCCAGAGAGAGCAGGGCTGCCCCGGCTGGTAGGAGCCCCTAGCCCAGGGCCTTGCGGGAGGAGCGCCCGAAGCCGGCGGGAAAGGGGACGCGAGGGCTTCCCGCGGACCCCCGAGGGGATCGGCGCCTGGGTCCGCCGGTCTGAAGCCGCCGCTGGGCCACGCCAGCCTGCGTCGCCCCCCAGCCATTAGGACCACCGGCCCAAACCCGCCTCAGGGTCAGCGGCACGCCGCGGTCGGGACCGGACTCGAGGGGCCGAGGAGCCCGAGGGCGGACGCGCCCCTCTGTGGGCCACTCACCAGGTTGAGGGGTCCTTCCATTACTTCCATAGACCCCGGGGTAAACGGCGGCCTGAGGAAGGGGAGCAACGGCGCCGGGGCACATGGAGGGGTACAGTCTGAGGAAAGTGCTACGCTGCAGCGGCGACACGGGACCCTCTTCGCGCCTCAGGGGCCAGTAGTAGGCGCAGAGGGAGCAACTACACCACTTCCTTCTCCGACGCCGCAAGCCCGCCCCCTTCGCCGCTGGCACGTACGCGTCATGGCGTCACACGCGCCTGGTTCAAGGTGGGCGCGAGAACGGGAGGTGGGTGGAGCTCAGGGAGGGCGCAGCATGGACTGACATGCGCTTTGTCGAGGTTGGTCTTTACTCTCACGACAGGGTATCTTCAGCTTCTTGAAGAATCCTCTGACGTCGCGAGAGGAGGTGCGACCTTGCTGGAACTTAAAGACGTGGCAGCGTTCTGTTATTGTCCTTACCCATTTTCTTCCAGCCTTTTTCCAAATTCCTTTCGCTTTGTTACACTCTTGCTCTCTCGTTCCCACCCTCATTCTTGCACCTGATTTTTTTTCTGAAAATCAGATTTGAGCAGTGCTAAACCATGCACTGGTTTAATCGCCCCTGGAAAGAGGCAAACATGGATGATTAAGGGTTTTGTCCTCAAGTTGCTGACGAACTAATAAAAAAAATAATATGAGTCACAAATAGCCAAACATAATAAATGATTAATTTAACAATAATGTGCCAAACCACTATGCTAGGTTCTTTTTGTCAAGGAATTCACTGACAAGGAAATATAATCGTGGTGTATGCTATAAGGAGAATGAATATACAGGGAGTCGTGACAGAGGAACCACGAGTTCCTCAAGGAAGTGAATTTTTCAAAAGCCATATGAGATTGGAAGACCCCAAGGTTCAGGTGAGACCCCAGCCCTGACCTGTACCTTCATTGCAACCTTGTGAGATCCTGAGCTGAGGAACAGATCAAAGCGATGCCCAGACCTCTGATTCTTAGAAATTGTGAGATAATAAATGAGTGTTGTTTTAAGCCACAGAGTTTGTGGTAATTTGTTACACAGCAAAGAAAACTATTAGATATCTTCAAGAGGGTAAAATTCAGAGGCAGAACTTTCTTGATAAACTATAAAAATGAGTAGTGAATCCATGTCACTGCACTACTCAAACCACAGTGGCTGGCTGTGCAGTGGACAGGTTTAATACCTTTAAAGGGAACTTCGCAAACAGCTGGACAAGAGAGTGTATTTTCAATCACATGCCAATGTTTGAAATTAACTTCATCTAGATCAGCAAAAGAGGAGATACGATAGATGTACATAATCATGTCCAAATGGTAATATGGACATTGCATCTGCCAGCCCTATTCTCTGTCACTATAGTCATACTATTGGCCTGGCCAGCCACAGGCTTATGAAGAGCATGAAGGACATGGTCAGGTCATCAAAGGAAGAAGTCACAGGCCTACAAAGATTTTAGAATTATCCAAGCTTATCCCTTGAAGTTTAGGAAACAGCTATTCCTGAAGCTTGCCATTAGCTGTTTTTCCTACTTGCATGTTTGTATCCCTTCAGTGGAAGACTTCTTTGCCTATTGGGAAAAGTCCACTCACCTCTTGAAACCGTCAGTGGGGAGTTATAGAAATCCCCAGGTCAGCCAGGCTGGGGATACAGTAGCCGTGCTTATTACTAAATCAGAGATGAGAAGAGCTCAGCAGTCTCTGCTGTGCCTCAACAAGATGGAGCCATGGGGCTTTGGGAGAATATTTAAAAGCTGCAAAGATTATAGTGTTCTCTGTGACTCACCTGGAAAATGCATTCCATGTAAAAGAATCTAATCTTAAATGGACCACACTGAGGGATTTGCCTGTGCTTCTCTAGAGTATATCACAAGGCTCAATTTCAGACATTCCTTAGATATTAGCTGCTGTAATCTCATATTCATCTACAGCATCATGATAGCCCAGCCTCTTCTTGAATGCTTACTACCCCAATGAAAGGAGGTTGATCTGTTGTGATCTATTTTTAATGATTAGAGAGTTCTTCCTTTGTTTGAACTGTAATATATCTTCTCATGACTGCCATGTCCTGAGCTTGTATAAATCACTATAACATGAGTACATGAATATATGCCAATTTTCTCCCTGCTACCAAAATATAAAACGTACATACCTTTGACTTAGCAATCCCTAAAAAAATACTAGCACAAGTACACAAAATAAAACTGTGAGAATCTTCACTGGGGCGATTTTAATAGTGCTCTCCATAGTTCTGGAACAGTTCAAGTAAAAAAGATCATTTGATGCAGATGCTGTAGAGGGAATTCTGCATTAATGGGAACTTGGACTGATGCCCCCAAAAGTTTGTATAGTTATAAGCCTTTGGTGTGCTCATTTATGAGAAGAGAGGGAACAGACCCTTCTAACCACCTTTCCTCTTTCTTTTCTCTATCTCTGTTTCCTCCTCAGCACAGGAGCTCCAGAGAAGGGGACCACGATTAGGTCAGCACTGGGAACCTTTACATGGTCCCTGAGATGTCTGAGGCTCCCTCCTTTGATTATGCTGTGGGAAAGAGCTTTCGGGGTGCCTCTCACACCTGCTGTGTTTATAGACTCCCCAGGGAATCAGCCTCAAGCACAGTCTCTTCTGTAGTCACAAAATCTATGGGGCCTGCCAAAGGAGCAGTAACAGCAGTAACAGCAGGAATAGTACAGCAGTGCTGGGTTCAGCAGCATCAAGACAGCAGAGCCAAGGCAGATTAACACAGCGAGTCAAGAGCAGTCCTCACGGCCCCAAGAGGACAAGGAGCTAGCACAATCATGACAGAGCTACCAACATGTCCTCAGTGGGTATTGAAGTGGCTATGGGGGGTGCTCCACACATGTCCTTGGAGGGTACTTTCTAAATTGGATTGGGAGGTAGGCACAGAGGGTCACAACAGTGTGGGGATTTGTTCTGTAGACAAGGTGGTGGGTACTAGATCCTTACCATTGTAATTTTCCCTATTTTACTATCTCTGAAATCAAGTGACCTTACTATCACTGTTAGCCAGGTGGCAGTTGTGATGAATTGATATTGCTTAAGAAAAACTTTAACCAATTTCTTTCACTTATGTTTCCCTTTTTATGTATGCACAAGATTGATATAGGGCAGAAATATGTCTAAATCTGAAAAACTAACTTCTTTCACTATATATAAAGTAAAAATTTAAGTGACAAAAACAATGGCTGAGCTTCAGAGAGAACGAGTTTGCTGTCATAGTTAGCATGTAAATAGATGACCCTCTTTCCTATACTTGATATGGGGATGCATTTTGCTGTTTCCTCATTCCTTGATAAGAAAGGAACCACCAAATCCTTTCCCATTTCCAACTTCATCTTGAAAAAAAGGGAAGACTGCCTTTAACTTTAAATGGAAACTAACTATAATTTTACTTCTTTGTTTTTAAGACTGAGTATGGTATTCAACAGAGGGTGAGCATTATCTTGCTTCAAGTTGATTCAAGTGCTTCTTAAAGATTTAAATTTCTTTTTTTTCCTGAAACTTCCTTATCCTCATTTCCCAGTAGTAGTGGTTTAACTTTGTACAATGCTTCAAAGGGTTTCACGCACTTACGTATACATTCACTCATTTAATTTCAACAAGCTCAAGTGAGTGACTTGCCCAGTGTCATAAAATCAGTGAATAGCCAAGCTAGGTCTTGAATCTAAGTCTCCTTGGCCATAAGCCTAGTACTCTTTCCACTACAAGCAGCTCAATACCGACTGGAGTGATATCTAATGTTGGTAATAGCAGAAATAGACTGTTAGGGCCACCCACTGTGATTACACAGGTTATTTTGGGTTTTCCCAAATTCACAGCCCTGAGTACCAAGGGATTCATGCTATAAAGGGAGGTGCTATTGTTAGTGCCTCTATTCTCCTCCAGGGTATTTGCCAAGAACTATTCACAAACCAAACTGGGCAGGAACAGGCCAAGTGAAGGAGGAGGGGAGGGGAGCTGTGAGATCGGGGGATGCAGTCCTTGAACTCGGAACCCAGCTCTTCAGTTGCTTCAGCATAAGTCAGGATGAAGAGAGCCAAGTCAGGCAGGAGTCAGGCATTCTATTCAACAAAGTTCAACAGAGGGGAGGCTAAGGAAAGTAGAATTTCAGGGCAGGTTTCTTATCCAATAAGCTGACACCTGGAAAAAGTCAGTCAATTAAAGGCAGAAAGGCAGTAATTTAAGTATCTTTCTATTAGGTTAGTGTTTGTAATATGACAGAGCAGAGAAGAGCTCTCCAGAATCCCAAATGTCTTGGACCATGTACCTGCTGGCACATCTGCAGGGATGCCTTGTTTCCATCCAGAAAAAAATAACTTTCCTATTAATCAGTGCTTGGCCAGACATAAGGGAAACCTTTTTCACCTGTACTTTCTTTGCATGTATCTCAGAACATAGGGCATGTTTAATCAAATTCTCTGCAGCCATTATATTCACTATCCCCAATTACAGAGAACTCAAACTTCAACTCTACCTTTTGCTCTGGCCCTCTAATGCAAAATGCTGGGCCATCCAGACTTTATATCAAACAGTGGTCACACATCAAAGGAATCATGAGATACTGAAAAATAGTACAGTCTCATTATTCTTAAATAAATGTGGATGAGAGGAGTCAGGAAAGAGACAACTGAAGTCATAAGGCAGATGTTCAGAGCCTGTTCCTCCACAAGTTTTCTGGGAAGATTTGTCTCCAGCTCCCTTTTAAAAGTACTTTTTACAGTTGACAAGATTCTCAAATCCAGAATTGACCTGTTCAGCCCCTCTGTGGTTCACGCTCCTGCTGCCGTTCTACCTCAGCAGGCAGGCCCAGGTGGCCTCTGCCCCACGTCCAGGGGAGGATGGGAGGCCTTCCAGGAAGGGAAGGGTCAGATGTAGCAAAGTGGCATAGAGATTTCACCACTACTGAATCTGTCACTTCTCACTTCCACTGTACTCTTTACTTCTCAGATGATCTTTGTCACAAATCTTTATGCTTTCTCTGCCCTTCCAGGATCTGAAAAACCCTTGGGAATCTCTCTTGGAACTATGTAGGCAAGGGATTCCAAAACAAACAAAAAGAAAGAAGGGGTAGGGTACAAGGTAAGGAGGAACAGAGAGAGAAAGAGAGGCAGAGACAGAGGCAGAGAGAGAGAGAGAGAGAGAGAGAGAGAGAGAGATATAGGTGGGTGGAAGAAAGAAA